ACACCAAGTAAAATGTGAGGCTGAATACAGGCAAACTAGTTAAGAAAGCACCATCAGAGGAGCCGTCTACATCAGGAGCAGAGAGACGTCCACCACCACCAGGAACCACCACAGGGTCCAGGAGGAGAGACGAAGCCCAAGCACCAACCCTCCACCAGGAGCCCACGGGACAGACCCTGGCAGCCACAGCCGACCTCCGCTCCTGATGCAGAGGCTCCTACAGAGGAAACACTGGATATCCTAATAATATGCCTAAAATAAATAAATATAATAAAATGTATACACTAGAAACAAGTAAAAGTATAAGATTTCAATCAAAAGCTAAACTAAAAAGGTGGGTCATGAGCCTGCTCTTAAAAACATGAAGGTTCTCTGCAGCCCTGAGCTCCTCTGGCAGGCAGTTCCATAAATGGGAGCCATAATACTGGAAAGATGCCTCTCCGTGATATACTACTAATACTACTACTACTACTACTACTACTACTACTACTTGATGAACTTGTATCTAAGAAGAGATGCCAAGTATTTGTATCTGTTTTGGACCCATGTGCATCAGAGTGAATCACAGTCTACAAACTGAGCTTGGATGAATGTTTTCTTTATGATTTTTGACTGTTCATAGAGAAAATATTGAATTTTCATTGAAGCAAGTTGTTATTTTTAACCAGTTGTTGGCTTGTTAAAAAAAACAATTAAAACAACATTTAAAAGGAGCTACAGATATTCTATAGAGACATTATTTATTTAAAACATTGTTATTATTTTATATTCTGCTTGTTCTGGATTCAGTGTTTAAGCAAAACTATTATTAAACATTTATTTGAATAAGAAACGGTTTAACATTACATATCTCGAAAGAAGAGAAACATGCAGATGTTGTTGAAATTTTTCAATAATTATTTAGTTTGGCCCACGACTTAGTCCCAGATTTTAATTTTGGTCCTCTGTGAATTTGAGTTTGACACCTCTGATCCAAATGATTCTAGTGAAGGTGTATGGAGTTTAAAAACACAGTGGAGCACTTCCTGTATTACCACAACATCACAAGATGGAGCAGAGTGTTTTCAGTTTGAGAGCAGAACAGATAACTATTGTGAACTCATGCCTCTAGATGTGACAAGTCAAATCTGAGTTAATTCAGACTGAAAACCAGGGACTAGAGGAGTTTTGCCAACACACAATCAAAACAGGAGCGAATTTTTGATCCAATATGGCTGACTTCCTGTTCATCATAGAGGCCTGCTCCAGTTCCTCTTCTGGCTTGTCTCATCATTCTCAATCACTGTCCCCAATTTCGTTTGCCTGTGACAAACTTTGCTTGTGCCCACTCCAGTGTTCTCTTTTTCAAAGAGAAAATTTCAAAACTTTTCCATGACTTTTTCTAGCCTGATTCATCAGTCGGTTTCACTTTATAGAAACCGTCTGAACTCGCAACATTAGGATTCGTTCGCTCGACGGTAGGCGGATACTTTTTTTTATTTAACCAGTCACTGCTATTTAGTCATGACGTATGTAATGTGCCACTAACAGGACTAACTGGTATATTAAGCTTTTCCCAAATCCCGTAGGAAGAAGGACAATAACGTCTTTCCCTTTGATAAAATTCACTTAACATTCTCTTTGTTCCAGCTTTAAATCCTTGATCTCGGGAATCGTTGACAACACAGAATGCATGGCTCTTCGCTGATTGGCTGGTGCCTGAACTCACACTTCCAAGGTTTTTGCAAACTGTCTAATATATTCTGATTCCTGATCTAGTTGCTGGAGAGAAATGAAACTGAGCGTAGGCACTTTACAGCACCTACATGTGTAGAACTGATCAGACTTTTAGGGCTAAATATGAAAGGTTAACTCTTTCCACTCACCTTATGGTTTGGGATTATAATTTTTTACCATTCAAAATATTGTCAGTGCATTTATTGTTGTCTCTTTTAAACAAAAGGTGCAAAAGTTCAGAAATAATCATAATAGCCTAATGAGAACTTAAAAGAAGTTGTAGTTGCTCGAAAGAGATACTAAAATTCCATGGCTTTTCCAGAATTTCCATGACTGTGGGAACCCTGCCACTTCCATAGAGGTCCAATTCTAGGCGGCGCTGTTGAGTCAAGTCACTTTGGGCATTGTCGTGATGCTCATTCTCTCAAATTTTTCACCGAACTGGTCGATTTGATACACAGTTTGGGGACTTTTCGTTGACGCTCAGGCTCTCAAAATTGCAATCGTCTGCAATGGAAAAAATAAAGAAGAAACCGGCGAAGAACAATAGCCCTCGCCCGTTACTTCGTCACTGGCTCAGACCAAATATGCTGGTTTGTGTATGGAGCATGTGTGAATAAAGCAAAACACAACTCCAGGTCTGTTTGTGATGAGGAAACGACATTATAACATCAGAAAATAGCGCAATACGAGCCCTTTAAACATGCAATTCACTTCTCTTATTTATAGACATCATCTCCACAGCCACTTCGCTCATAAAAGTGTTTCCAATTATGTGGAATTTACGACTCCACCCCGAGGCCAGTGTATTTCAGTCCACTTTATTCTGAATTTGAATAGGAATTTGAAGTCAGGAGGGACCAATTATTTGGACCAGCTTCGGTTACTCATTTGAAATAATAATACAAGAGTTCATGGAGTTTATATTACAATCGGGTTCATTCGAGGTTTTGGAAGTGCAAATCTTAATAATTACATTTGATATAGGCCTAGTAAATGTGGTTAATGTCCACGAATATTTCTATAGTGCTCATACTATTAAAAGATAAGTAGGTATTTTATTTTTATGGGGTATTAACTGCCAGCACATAACAAATTTAGATCACCATGATACCTTTTATTGTTTAGAAAAAGCTATATTCACCAAAAACAATGTACTTGATCTCAGTTTCACTTTCGTTTTTGATACTCTGTAGAGAGTCGCCCATGTTCACAGAAGGAATTATTATACTTTTGAGCCACTGAATCACCTGTAATGAATAAATACTAGATGGGTGAGACATTACGGGCGAAGCAATGACATCTCCATGGAGACAGGTTGCGGAGTGCACCTTTACTCGTGTTGAGGCTGCGCTTTTAAAACTTTAAAACGCGTCCCAAGTTCTCACCATGAGCTCATTGCTTTAAATATAAAACAGCAGCAGGAAAACTTAGGACACAGTTCGTTGCTCACTAGACCGGAGAGGAAACACTGAGTTTGGGTAACAGCAGCAGTCAACACCGTCCTGGTTTAGACCTGGTTTTAGTCCTGGTTTAGTCCTGGTTTTAGTCCTGGTTTTAGTCCTGGTTTTAGACCTGGTTTAAAACTGGTTTTAGAAATGGTTTTAGTCCTGGTTTAGTCCTGGTTTAGTTCTGGTTTTAGTCCTGGCATTAGTCCTGGTCTAAACCTGGTTTTAGTCTTGGTTTAAACCTGGAGTAGACCTGGTTTTAGTCCTGGTTTTAATCCTGGTTTAGTTCTGGTTTAGACCTGGTTTAGATCTAATTTAGACCTGGTTTAGTTCTGGTTTAATCCTGGTTTAGACCTGGTTTTAGTCCTGGTTTAAACCTGGAGTAAACCTGGTTTTAGTCCTGGTTTAGTTCTGGTTTTATTCCTGGTTTTAGTCTTGGTTTAAACCTGGAGTAGACCTGGTTTTAGTCCTGGTTTTAATCCTGGTTTTAATCCTGGTTTAGTTCTGGTTTAGATCTAATTTAGACCTGGTTTAGTTCTGGTTTAATCCTGGTTTAGACCTGGTTTTAGTCCTGGTTTTAGTCCTGGAGTAAACCTGGTTTTAGTCTTGGTTTTAGTCCTGGTTTAGACGTGGAGTAGACCTGGTTCTAGTCCTGGTTTTAATCCTGGTTTAGTTCCAGTTTAAACCTGGTTTAGATCTAATTTAGACCTAGTTTAGCTCTGGTTTAGTCCTGGATTTAATCCTGGTTTAGTTCCAGTTTAGACCTGGTTTAGATCTAATTTAGACCTGGTTTAGCTCTGGTTTAGTTCTGGTTTTAATTCTGGTTTGTAAAGACACGGTTGAATCACTGGACTCAGCCCTATGTTCCCTCAGCTCTATCTTCCCTTATTTTAAGATTTTTCTCAAAAATAAACTCTAAGTCCAGTCATTTTTTATTTTTACCCCAGATTTAAAGGGATGATTCAGAGTCATTTCAACCTAGGATCCTCACATTACATCTGTACTCAACTGCCTGCTGGAGAATAGGTTGGGTGTAACTGACGACCAAATTGGGAGAAATGGGGTTAAAATCAGATGCAAATTGATGATTAAAGAAATGTGGGAATATAGGGCCTAATTTTAGAAAAAAAAAAACTTAGAAAAAGAACTTCTCTGTTCAGGAGAGGCTATTATAATGATTTGGAAGTTGAATTAGTAAAAAGTTTGAGTAAAATGCAATGTTTATAAATGATAAAGGTGCATTGTGTAACTTTTTGGTTTGGGGTCGGTCACCTGCTTGTTTCTATGGATACTGGTCATTGCTCGGCCAGGAATGTTCCACAGTATGACATTAAACAGCTCTACCTTACATTTATTCAATTACAGTTGGTTTTATAGCTCAAAAATACCTAGAAAAACAGACATTCTCACTGTGATCGGGGTCGCCTCTCCACAGATCTGACCTGTAACTTTGTCTGGTTTGGTCTCCATGAAGATAGAAAGGTTTAATGCCATACTGTGAAACATTCCAGACAAAGCAAGAGCCTCCATGGAGAAAAGCATCTGACGGACCCTCCATCAGAAAAGTTACACAATGCACCTTTAAATAACAAACGCATGAAAAAAAAAAGTATGTGTATCAAAATATTTCTTATTTTAAACTGTGTATATATCATCTTTAAAATCTATAAAAATATAATAAAAAAAAACAAAAAACAAACAAAACAAAAAAAACAAATGTAGGTTATTTTTAGGGATTTTCTGACATTTTCTGCACTACCAAAACAACAAATTTTCTTTTTTTTAAATGTAGTTTTAAATGTTTTTTTTCCCCCACATTTGACACGGCAGTCCACATATAGAAAGAAGCTTTATTAGAACAAACCTGGAGATTTTTTTTTTGTTTTTTTTTTTGCAACATTTGAGCATTAAAAAAGACATACAAAAGATTCAAATTTATGGCAACCACCTCACTGAAGACACATCATAAAAATCATGATTAAGAATGATCCATACCCTCCCCATATCTAATACGCCCCATACGCATACATGACACGGACATCCACACGTACACTAATCCAAAAACGTCGTTAAATAAGTTCATCAATAAATATTCCGTAATAATTAGGCGTTCATTTTACTTAGCGTTGTGCCCTTAGAAGTAACTGTTATGTGATAGCGATTTGTAGTTATGATAATTCTGTGTGATAATATGGAGGGTCTAAAGTGCATCTGTCAAGACTTGTCAAAATAAACTATATTTTTTAAAGAGGGGGTATCACACTAGGTCCTAAATTACACAAAATTAAGTGTTGTGAGCTTTTAGATGTGTTATAATGTTGCTTCCTCCTCAAAAAACAGACCTGGAGTTGTGTTTCGTTTCATTTACACGTATTTGAGTAACACTTTATATTAGTCTGTCTACATCTCCAAAGTTCAAAATGCCACCTTGTGATGTCATGAAGCGGTAGTTTTCAAGTTAACAGCCACCTTCTACTTTAAATTCAGTAAAGATTGGCAATTCCAGGATTGAAATTATTAGTGGAGGTGGAATTATGGAGTTTAAAAACACACTGGAGCACTTCCTGTATTACAACATGACATCACAAGGTGGAACAAGGTACAGTGGTTTGTGTGTTAATGAAACAAAACACAACTTGAGGTCTGTTTGTGATGAGGAAACAACATTATAACATAGATCAGAAAATATAAACATATTCAAATTACCATGTTACCTTTTTTTGGTTTGAAAATGCTATATTCACCAAAAACTAAATATTAAAGGGACAGTTCAGAATTTTAGAATATTCCATACAGTCCTTGTATACTAAAAACAAGGAAGTAAATCTATTATTACTCCAGATTTTTTATGTAAATGTCTGTGTTGCATGCGATCGTAGCATGTTGAGGGACTATTTTCTCATATATCAGTCCGCCGCTGCCAAGCTTTCCATCAGGAAGTACAACTCGCTGCTGCTGCTCAGACATAAATCCTTCAAATGCAAGGTTGGTTTTATTTGTAAAGTTGTTCTATCGACACAGACATTCTCATCGACAGTCTGGTGTAATAATAGATTTGCTTCGGGTGTTTTGTGGAGTGGGTAAGACTGTTTTTAGCGGCAGGCTAACTATGGCCATTGACATGCACTAGCCTAGCACCAGTGACCTCTGCAAATACAAGGACTGGATGGAATATTTTAAAAAGTGTCTCCACACGTCTCAAACACTCTGGCTCACTAGGAAATAAGGCCCTATGTCCTAAATTTCGGACTGTCCCTTTAACATTACATTTAATTTGTTTCAGTTTCCTTTTTGATGCTCTGAGTCCCACTTCCTTGCTCTGTCACTCCCCCTTCAGAGCTCTATCACAACACAGTGAGCGTGAATGAAACTATTGCACATCGCATCAGGTTTGTGAAGTTGTAGTGTACTGTTTTGTATAGTGTTTTTGTATATATATGGAGAAGTGTCGCGTGGGAACATGAGTGACGTAGGCTTGTGGGCTGAGTCTTGTACTGCTGACTAAACAGGGTTTCAATAAGGCCAAGGACAGATCACTAGATTACTCAAACATGCATGGCTGATGTCTAAAACCTCTTCAGGCATGTTTTTGATGAGTGTACAACGTTATAACATGGAAGAAAGCTCCAAACAGTTGATTTTGCATAATACCCCCTCTTTAAGCTGAAAATATGAACGTGCAACCAGGAAATACTTACACACATGCCGCTTTAGCGATATGACAAATAATAATATTAAGCGTATGTAAATGTTCACATTGAAAGGTTAAATAAAACTTTATGCCGCTGTTTACACGTGGCGTTTACAGGTTAAAAGGTCCTGTACCAGATTTTTTTCCCCACGTATTTCAGCAAAATATGTCTTGCCAGAGTACAGATATACTGTATAACCCGCACTGGAGGTCAAAGGACTGTCTGCTGCGTGCTGTCTGCAGAGTTTTATTGTCCGATAATAATTTGGAAGCGTGAGTAAGCATGTTAGTTGTCAGTTTAAAGGTGCACTGCGTAACATTTTTAGTGGAGGATCCGCCACCTGCTTGTCTCAGTGGAAATTGAATGTACCGTATTTTCCGCACCGCAAAATTAATTTCAACAAAAACGACTGTGCCTTAGAATCCCGAGCGCCTTATATATGAATTTATACGAGTGTCTTAGTACAACTTTAGTAAACTACAAAGGCACAAGACTTGCAGCATTACGGCTACAATTGAACAAAGTTGAGAGTTATTGTGAACGCGTTAAATAAAGTTTGACTGACTTATCTAACTGTTGTGTTTCGTTTAATGCTCCTTATAGTCCGGTGCAGTTTATATGTGAAAAAAAGTTTGAAAATAGACCATTCAATGACAGTGCACCTTAATCCAGAGTGATCTATAGTGTGCAAAATACGGTATATAGAATGTTCAACAATAGAAATTAAATATCTCTATCACGACAGAGACGAGCCGGTCACAGCACTACGCTACATTACGATTCAGATCTGTGGAGAGTCGCCCTATTCACAGAAGGAATTATTGTATTTTTGAGCAACAGAAACACCTGTAATGAATAAATGCTAGATATATTTAATGTCATACCATGGAACATTCTAGAGAAAGCAATAATATCTCCATGGAGACAAGCAGGTATCAGACCATCACCAGAAAAGTTGGGCAGCGCATCTTTAACTGTAAAACTCCGCTCTTTTTTCTGAAAGTTGTGAAAAACTCATTGCTCTGAATAATTACATAAGGTAAGTGAGGAATAACTTTGAAAAACTGTGAACTGTTTAATAAACGACTTGTTTTTCACGATTTTGAGAGAGTAAAAATCCGGTACAGCGCCTTTAAGTTGCTTGGCTGATATAGAGATATAAAAGCACACAGTGGTGATAGAGTTGAGTAAAGTCTTTCGGGTATAGAATGAGAGAATGGGGTGGTGCAGTTCAGATCTTGGGCAGCTTGGGGGCGCTGATGAGCGGGTTGGTCTCCTGTAGAACCCGCCGGCCTGCGCTCTTGTAGTCGTAGGAGCAGGAGTGGGTCTCTGCATAGCGGTGAGTGGCACAGAAGTTCTGACCGCACCTGGAAACACAAAAGGAGCTGGTAAATCCTAGATTAAATTTCTGAAAAAGCCCTTTTTTTCCCCTTGCTCATCTTGAAGAAACAAATTTTGATTAAAACTGAACCTGCGCAATTTTCAACTTCTATTTTCTTTTATTATCTATTTTTTTTCTCATAATGTCTAACTGGCAAATATCTGTGCACCTGAGCCATGTTTGTATGAAAATGAAAAAACAAAATAATTAAAAGTCCTATAGTAAAAATTTGACTCATTTTGGTTACTTTATTGCAATAAAAACCATGCAAACTTACAGTGATTTTTATTTGGCCTTGGGGAGGTCCTCTTCCTCTTTGTTTCTATGGTAATGTTGTAAATGGCTATATTATTCCACAGTATGGCATATTCTCCATGGAGAGTGCTCCCAAGTATGATTTAACTTTCTATTTCCCTCGTCTACCCCAGGGATACTCATTGTGCAGCTCATCAAGCTTTAATTGGTGGCCAAAAATAGTAACACAGCCAATATATTTGTTCAAATGTGCTAGATTAACATATATTTAACATTGCAACACAAACATCCGCATTACACTAAGTATAAATCAAGGCTTAATTAATGGTGTTTCCTCTAGGGGGCGCCGTGACACCAGCAACCAGCGACACGTGGGTCCATGTATAAACGACCCGTACCCGACCAACGATTTCAACTAACCCACTCCGACCGCAAAAAATATTTGAGAAGATTGAACCCAGCCTGCTGCCTGACCTGCATTTTAAAAAGTAGAACATGCTCTTGATTAACATCATCTAAATAAAGTGACCAACATAAATAAATGAGTGAAATGATGTTAAATAAAGAGCTGCACTAAACCTGCACACGTCTGATTTCTGAAAACATGAACCATCTCCAACTCGACACACACACAGAACAGACTCACCACCATCACCACCATCACCAACATCCCTCTGTCACAGAAAGAACACTCATATTCCACTGAGAAATGTCCTTTAGTCAAATGAGACATGTGGTTTTAAGTTTTGTTTCTTTAAAATGTAAATAAATGTGTCAACGCTGCATTAAACACATTATAATGTCAAAGGGGCTGATGTGGCTCTTGAGTGTTTATGGTTTATATGTTGTAAAGTTGAGTTTATTTCTGCAGATTAATAATAGTAATAATGCATGCCAGCTTCTGCTCATCATAGAAATGCACATTTGTAAAGGTGACTTGGTGTGTTGGGGTATGTTGGATATAAGTGGCTCTCTTCTTGATTTTGCTCTTCCAATGTGGCTCTTGTGAAAAAAAAAAAAGAGAATATCATTAGTCTACTCTGTGAAAATGACTCTTTGGATTTGCTTTTATAATCTTATATTCTGTGCTTTGAAATCCATCCCAACAACTCTTATATATGTTTTTTTTTTTTTTTTTCAATCATCTTCTTTTTTAAGTATCATTACAGATGACTGAGCTGTTGTCTATTCTGTTGTGTCCATTTGCTGACACTTGTTTTGTTTGTGAAGTTTAAACTGAAAAAACTTTGTATTTCCACTGAATCATCATGTGACTTGCCACCTCCAGAAAGTTGACTGAAAATGAACTTTTCGGCACTGTAGCATTGGTATTAAAGGTGCACTATGTAACTTTTCGGTTGGGGGGGTCTGTTACCTGTTTGTTTCTGTAGATATGTCATTTTCTCTGCCTTAAATGTTCCACAGTATGACATTAAACAGCTCTATCTTCCATTTATTTAATTCCAGGTGGGTTTAAAGCTGATCTGACTGTGAGCGGGGTCGCCTCTCCACAGATCTGACCTGTAACTTTGGTCTACATGAAAATGGAAAGGTTTAATCCCATACTGTGAAACATTCCAAACAAAGTAATAACAAGCATTTTTGACAGACACTACCAGAAAAGTTACACATTGCACCTTCGATATTTTACAGAAACATTAGCTACTAGTCAGTTACCGAGATGTGCATTTTGAGTTCAGAAATTCTCAGATTATCTTTACATTTGCCTGATTGAGCTCATATTTCCGAAAGTCTTTATAATTTGCTTGCTGCCTTGTAATTTGCCCAATCACCGACAGTCTCTCCACGCTCCATCTCCCTAATCACAGATATACGGTACTTTCTAAATGATACTTGTGCTTTTCTGACTTGTGCTAAAGACCTCCATTAGACCACTTATCCAATCACCTCAGAGAATATTAAAACTCCAGCACTCCACTCTCTTACATTACATCATATGGGACTGAAGTGCTGTCTTTTCAACGCAGCGGGGGCCAAGCACTTTAAATTCGAGTTCCAGTGTACAAACGGCTGTGGATAGATGATGACAGTTTCAGCATGTTGCGTCAGGTTTACTCGGAAATGTTTTGTATGTCGTTTGGGGGGAAAAGTTGTGCTAAAATATTGTGACAGGACAAGAGGAAGGAATGTGAAATCAAGAACAAGTACTTCTCCAGGGACCCCAGAGATGCATTGTGAAGAATGGTTGTGGTGACTGGTTGCGAGCGTACTGTGTACATAAATGGACAGGGCTAAACTGCCGTGATCCAAATAGGAAGTGAACATGGGTGCGCTTCTGGCTCCATAGATTCAGGCTATAATTCACTTTGTATTGAAAAAACATCAGACCTCTCTCTGTAACTACTGCTGTCAGGTTACTGATTTTGGTCTTAAATTAAATTCATATTAATCCACTCTACATGATCCTGGTGTTTTTATTTCGCAATTTTGTCTGTGAATAAATTCCTATTCCTAATACAGAACTTGGTTAATAATTTGCTTCTATAACTGCAGTCTTGGTGAGCTTCATTTGACTGGAGCTGAACGGGTGACGTCACACTCCCTTAGTCAACTTCTTTATACAGTCTATGGTTATGAGGGGTGACCGAGTGGTGGCTGCCTGTGGTGGCTGCCTGGGCTGATTGCCAGGGATTTTTGTCTGGGGTGGCTGTCAGGGGTGGCTGTCTGGGGTGGCTGTCTGGGGTGGCTGTCTGGGGTGGCTGTCTGGGGTGGCTGTGGCTGGGGTGGCTGCCAGGGGTGGCTGCCAGGGGTGGCTGCCAGGGGTGGCTGCCAGGGGTGGTTGATGGGGGTGCTTTCCAGGGATTTTTGTCAGGGTTGGTTGACGGGGTGGTTGCCGGGGTGGCTTGCCGGGGTGGCTGCCTGGGGTGGCTGCCTGGGGTGGCTGCCTGGGGTGGCTGCCTGGGGTGGCTGTGGCCTGGGTGGCTGTCAGAGGGGCTGTCTGGGGTGGCTGTCTGGGGTGGCTGTCTGGGGTGGCTGTCTGGGTGGCTGTCTGGGGTGGTGGGGGGCTGTCTGGGGTGGCTGTCAGGGGTGGCTGTCTGGGGTGGCTGTCTGTGGGGTGGCTGTCAGGGGCTGTGGGTGCTGTCAGGGGTGGCTGTCTGGGGTGGCTGTCTGGTGGGTGGCTGTCTGGGTGGCTGTCTGGGGGTGGCTGTCTGGGGTGGCTGTCTGGGGTGGCAGGGGTGGCTGTCAGGGGTGGCTGTCAGGGGTGGCTGTCAGGGGTGGCTGTTGGCTGGGGTGGCTGTCTGGGGGTGGCTGTCTGGGGTGGCTGAAGGAGTTAGTTGATGGGGGTAGATGATGGGGGTAGTTGATGGGGGTAGTTGATGGGGTAGTTGACGGGGTAGTTGAGGGGGGTAGTTGACGGGGGTAGTTGACGGGGGTAGTTGATGGGGGTAGTTGATGGGGGTAGTTGTTGGAGGCGTTTGTCAGGGGTGGTTCTGATGGCGGTTATGATGGTATATGATTGTGTTTTTTTTTTTTTCAAGCGCTCGTGTCGCCCACCCAGTGCCCTTGTAACTACGTGTCTGGCTGTGGGGTATACCGTGGTGAGGGGTAGTTATGGGAGCTGGCTTTGAAGGTATATAAATGGGTGGTTGTGAAAAGCAGTTGTGATGTGTGTTTGTAGGGACAGTGTGTTGTAAATCGCTGGGTCCGGTTGTGGTACCTGCACTCGTAGCTGGTGGCCAGGCCGGTCTTCTTGCCACAGTGGAAGCAGTGTTTAGAGGAAGAAGTCTTCTTCTTGGTCCCGGCAGACGCTCGGACTGGGGGCAGTGGGTGAGACGAAGAGCCTGGAGGAGACACACAAACGCCGCGTTACTAAGACAATGCTTCTCAAACTGTGGTACGTCCAGTTTGTTTTGATAAATATTCTGCAGTTAATTAAACTCTCAATCATTAGTACTAGTATAGAATTACTTCAGTAGTCATAGTTTGATTTAGTCCAATATAGGGTTGTCAAAAGTATCGAAAATCTGATACTAATTGATATTAATACTAGTATCAAATCTAGACACTCATTTGAGCAGGTATCGGAAAAAAAATCACATTCACAGGACAGAAATGAACCTTCCCTGAATAATATATTTACAGTCATTTTTTAAGGGCTATAAAAGTACATGAACAAAAATCTACATTATTATCTGGGTTCTAACAAAATCATATCATCTCACTGGCTCCATCGCCTGTGCGCTCATACTGTCCATTTAAGTTCCACCATGTTAAACTGGTCTTAAACTGCAGCCTGGACATAAACTGGCTGTATTCTGTTATGAAGCTCTGTCCTCTGAGCTCATCCCACGCTCCCCTTAGTCCCACTAAACATTTTACCAGCCGCCCGGGGAGTATAAAAAGTTACAGTCTTTACGCACTAAATGAGACCCATCTTTGGGGCCATAAAATGCACATGCAAATCCCCGTCCAACAGGAATGAAATGACTGCAGCATCCACTGAGCACCAGGGCCAGGACCATTTAGATATGTGTGAGTCACTATGGAATGTTTTCTAATGTCACTTATGGCCACTATTACATATCACAAAATAAAGACAACAAATGTATGTCTTGTCTACAGAAATCATTTACACATCTAATATTTCACCATGCTAAACCAATGTTCTTTTGATTTACTGGTTAATCTATGTTCCTACCCTCACCCACGGTCATGAGCTTTGGGTAATGACCGGAAGGACAAGATCACAGATTCAAGAGGTCAAAATGAGTGGCTATGCGCTCCCTTAGAGATAGGGTGAGGAGCTCAGTCACAGAGAAGGAGCTCGGAGTAGTGTAGAGGAGCAGCTGAGGGGAGGGCATTTGTTCCAGATGCCTCCTAGACACCTTCCTGGGGAGGTGTTCATGTCCCACCGGGAGGAGGCCCCAGGGGAAGAGCCAGGACATGCTGGAGGGACTGTGTCTCTCAGCTGTCCTGGGAATGCCTTCGGGTCCCACCAGAGGAGCTGGAGGTAGTGTCTGGGATGAGAGAAGTCTGAGTCTCTACTTTCACTGTTACTTTTGTGATCTGGAATGAATGGGTGGATATATAAAAACAATTATATTTTTTAGTATAATTTAAAATTCACCCAAGCAAACCGTGCCAAAGTAAAACAGGCTTGGGCTCAATTTTTGACAAAGAATTAACATGAGGTGTGTAATAAATCTGCTTTTTTTAGCCCTAACACCGAGACATCTCTCTCCTTCAGCTTGTTCTTCCATTACCCCATCACCTTTTCAATCCTGTATTATGTCATGTCCTGGCAGCCTCCAGACAGTCACCCTCCGGGAGAAGAGAGGAGTACTCCTCTTATCTCTGCATTCTGACAGCTCATTTATGGAGACGCTCGAAAAACAAAAGACCAGTTTATAAAAAAGGAGATGACACCGCATGTTCAACTTAACCAAACACTGGGAGACTATGCAACAGAGAAAGTGATAGGGGAGGGTGTCTGGGCTGAACTGTCAATCCTCAAGTGCTTTTACAGAAAGTTAGAGGAGAAATGTGAGGCTCTATTGGAACTTTGCAAACAGTTACTTTACATCTTTGTGTTACAGGAAATACAATTTTAAATAGGACTCTGAGATTTTTATTTCATATTTATTTCAGCATGGGTCTTTCTAATGAAGAGGTCTACAGCCGGTCCTGTCAATAAAAGTATGTGGTCTAGAGCAGACAGAAATGTGTTGTTTTTGTGCTAAATGGCAATAATTAAAAGTCTGTATTGTTTGTATTCACAATGCTTAATTGTTTCTACTACGACAAAAAAAAAAATTTTTTTGCCTTATCACTGAGCCCCAATTTAAAATATTATGAAAATGGTCTTTGTCTGAGCACTCAGGCTTCATCTGGGGCTGTAACAAATGACTAAAATAAATATTTCCATTGTGCTTTGAGGTTATATATATTTTAAGCAAATTTAACCAGTTAAAAGCTAAAATATGGCAAACCTAGACTTCTCTATAGACAATATTTAATTTAAAATACTTTCTAAAAAAAAAAATATATATATATATATATATATATATAAATAAATACATCTCTCACTTACTACATAATACATACTGTTATTATCAAGTATGACCTAAAACAATTGTTAAAAGCCCTGTACCACATATTCTGTACACATAATTGCATGAGCAGTGCTGTGTGCAGTTTGCAGCTAATTAGAAAACATTTTATTGTGCGATAATCTTGAATTGGCATTAGCATGCTAGTTGTTGTTAACTGAAAAAAATCCACATTGGGCTCTAAAAGCTGTGAAAGGCTCTTATGAACTCATTATGGTGAATAATTATTATACTAGGAACGCATAGGGTAAATAAGGAATAACTTCGGACCACTGCAAATCTTTTAAAATCAACTACTTCTGTTTTTCCAGATTTAAGGATGATTTGAGCATATTTATAGTGCAGTCTATATTGTCAAACCCCAACTGCAGTGAACATGTACCTCTAGAACATCCCATAATATGTGACTATATAATCCTGGTACCGTGTAAAGAGGTTTTAAAGGGAGCCGATGCTGTAGAGGTGTTGTATACAGCGCAGCAGTAAAGCCTGGATCTCTCTGTAAAAATGTGTTTATGTCTTTATGATTGTGTGTACAGACGGAGGCAAGACTATAGTGGAACAGGCCCAATGGAATAATCTGTAGTGAAGGTGTATGGAGTTTAAAAACACAGTGGAGAGCTTCCTGTATTACCTCATGAATTCATAAAGTGTTTTCTGGTAAAGAGCCTAAATATGCAGGGTTTGTGTGTTAAACATGTGTGAATGAAACAAAACACAACTCCAGGTCTGTTTGTGATGAGCAAACAACGGTACAACATAGATCAGAAAACCACGTAATATGAGCCCTTTAAATGTTACAAAACAAACAACAAATGCACAATCTAGCATGATGATATATTAAATGTGCAAATGTTTTTAGATGTGAGACAATACTGGAAAAAAAAATAAACATTTACATTTTTTTTGTATATTTTAGAATTCGCTCAAGCATACTGTGCCAATGGTGCCATACAGTGCCAATATATTAAAAGTTGCACTGTGCAACATTTGTGCATGTCTCCATGGCGTTAAATAAGTAAGTTTAAGTTTACATAAGTAAGTAAATATAAGTAAGCAAGTTTAAGTAAATTTAAGTGAGTAAGTTTAAGTAAAAAAGTTTAAAGGGACCAGTCTGGAATTTTGGACATTGGCTAATAAGAAATGAGGTCCTGAGTGTTGGAGACGTGTGGAGACACTTTTTAAAATATTCCATCCAGTCCTTGTATTTGCAGAGGTCGCTGGTGCTAGGCTAGTCTTACCCACTCCACAAAACACCAAAAGCAAATCTATTATTACGCCAGACTGTTGACGTAAATGTCTGTGTTGATAGAATAATTTTAGAAGTAAAACCAACCTTGCGTTTGAAGGATTTCTGTCTGAGCAGCAGCAGTGAGTTGTACTTCCTGATAGAAAACTTGGCAGCGGAGGACTGATATCACCTAGCAACTATCTTACTGGCAAAGTAAAATTCCGCTGCTGCTGAAAAAATAGTCCCTCAACATGCGATGATTCATGTGATATAAGGTTACTTTTATTTCAAACATTATTCTGTCAACACAGACATTTACATGGACAGTCTGGCGTTAAAATAGTTTTGCTTCGGGTGTTTTGTGGAGTGGGTAAGTCTATTTTTAGTGGCAGGATAACTATGGCCAATGACATGCACTAGCCTAGCACCAGTGACCTCTGCAAATACAAGAACTGGAGGGAATATTTTAAAAAAGTGTCTCCACACGTCTCCAACACTCTGGCTCACTAGGAAATGAGGCCTTATGTCCAAAATTCTGGTCCCTTTAAGTATAAAGTTGAAGTACGTTTGTTAGTTTATTTCTATAGAACTTTTCACAGACATGGCTCACAAAGTGCTTCACATACAAAAGATAAAAAACAGCATAAGGTACATTCATAATAACATCAGTCATAGCAGAGGTTTTAAAAGGAGCCTGTGTGGTGTAGGTGTTGCATACCGCGCAGTAGTAAAGCCTGGGTCTCTCTGTAAAATGTGTTTACATCTTTATGATTGTGTGTGTGGAGCTGAGCTCCAGGAGCAGGCCCACTGCTGAGACAGAAATAACTATCTTGTTCAAATGGAGTACACAGTTTGTTTGTGAGCCGGGGGGTACAGAAGATAGAAGGACCTGGGGAGAGATGAAAACTACAAGAGCTTCAAAGCCAGATATTAGGGCTGGGAGAAAATCTATTGTTTTGTAGTAAAGGTAAGATTTTGGATTTTGCCGTCTTGCCCCAGTACAGATATAGAGTATAAGCAGGTCTTGAGGTCAAAATAAGTCTGTTGCGTGATGTCTGCACCATATTAGATAGATTTTTATTGTTCTATTATCAGGAAGTGATATTGGTTTTAGTGTCACAGTAAAACTACTGCATTTTCTGCACTATAGGGCAATCTGGATTATAAGGCGCACTGTCATAGAATGGTCTATTTTCAAACTTTTTTCACAAATAAACCGCACCGGACTTTAAATGAAACAGTTAGGTGGGTCAGTTGGACTTTGTTTGGCGCGTTAACGTGACTCTCGGCTTTGTTCAGTTGTGGCGTGTAGGGAGGGTGCTGTCTGGGACCGCTGGATTGTCGGCTTGTTCGCAGTGACTCAGTTGTTCAGTTGTGGCTACAAGTGGCACATTGCGCTCGCTTTTTTGGTTCGTTCCTCCGTTCCATTCCTCATCCTCGTGGTGTGATGTGTGTGGCTGCGGGTGTTTTTCGCTGCGCAGTCGCTGTCTGCTCCATGCGT